AGAAGGGCCAAATCCCTGTCAGAAACACTGAAAGTAATTTATATTAAGATTTGAAGATGTAAAAGAAAAAGAAAAATGTTTCCAGATCCACTTAAACTGACGTAAGATAGAAGGTCTCCCACAAATGAGGGCTAAAAGTCTTACTTGGTAACTTCCCCTGCCTGACATGCCCTTGACCTTCTTCTGCCACCTGCCAGGTGACCGTTCACCTCTACACAGGAAAAATGGCTGAGTTGTTTTTCCAGAGTTAATATTTTTTTCCTCAAAAATAGTTGTTTTTGCTCTATTTTGAGTGTACAGAGTAAAATGTGTCAGTAGAGTGGGAGCAAAATTACAGAGTAACTGTGACTCCTCCCATAACTGTTATCTTCCCAACACACACACACACACACAGCAGTGAGTAGTGAACATACACCCGGAGCAGTGGGTTTTTACACATTTCTTCTATTTACTATTTGTAAAAGTATTACAAATTAATAAATCATAAATACAAATATTTTGTAATTCTTATTATATATTTTTATAATTGTAATAATTACATTATAAATAAGTAAATTCTTTGTACACTGAAATACCATTAAAAATCATCAACATTGTGTGCATAAATGTTTGATGAACTTTTAGTAATAACTTCTGACAAAAAAACATGCATTACAAAAGTATTAAAAATGTTTTATAAATGATATATATATTTTATAAAACTCCATTAAACTACTCTTTTATGTAATATTCATGATTTGGTGCAAAGGTTAAATCTCTCAAACCCTAAAAATATCTAACAGCTGTTTTCATAAATAGATACTTTTTTGTTATTAATTTTAATGGTGACATTGTTTATTCTCAGATCAAAACCATATTAAAAAGTTTTGCCAAATGAAATGATGAAAGCTGAAGTCTTGAAACACGATCTGCACTCTAAGAAAGCTGTTTTGCTATTTCCTCTTTCCAAAAAAAGTGGAACAAGGAAAGAAAAAAAGCATCTGAGATGCTCCAGTCAGCTACACTGTTCATTTGTGAAAGGAAAACAGAGAGTTTTATGTGCTAGTGCACCCACTGCTGGTGTTTCCTTTCAAATGTAGAGTTTTTAGTCGTCTTGATGATCCATCTGTCCCGGTTGTTCTTTATAATCACACAGTTATTTCTAAAAACAATTATAATATAATTTCTGACAGTAAAAACAATGCACATTAAAATCAACAGAAAACAAGACAGAGTCATTTCTACTTTTTGAAATGATCTAGTTTTGGACCTACACCTTTCTGTCTGACCTTTTCTCTAAAGACACAGATCCAATACCACACTGACCTCTTGTAATTGTTTGTCCCGGTGCAGCTTTGGCATTGTAAAACTTAACGGTCCTTGTCTGTACACACTGGACAGCTATCATCAATTACCTTCCCGTTACAATCATCAAAGGGGCCACTACACTACAGCGACATGCGTGCAGCATCAATGGAAACCTGCTCAAGAAGAATCAGGAAGATTTCAAGAATTTGAATTTTGAATTTTCTGATAAAAGCTTAGAAACAGAAGGCAAACAGTTTGTCAGCTAATAAAAACAAAAAAAATGTTAAGAAAAAATAATGTCAAAGTTCAAAAACAGTTTAATGTTGGTATGTTTCTTACAGATTAATAATATTATTCAAATTATATTTATTCACAGAAAAGTATTCTGTGATGATGACATTGTTTTCAGTTTGTTTTTTCTCTTTTTCTCTATTTTAAATTACCTAGCTATAAAGAATTCTGTATTTAATTAACAGAAAAGCACAATGAACAAAGTTCATTTCATACTGCTATGGGAACTTTTCACTATATGTGAGTTAAGGAGCAGTATACTGAGACATGAGAGACATCTGCTGGTGGTTATGGGAAGCTGCATTATGATTTAGTCCCATTGTAACGTTCCATTTTCATGTCATTTGTTTAATTATTTATTATTACATTGTCAGGGTCACATGCATAACTCACATGCAAATTAGCTGAGTGAATGCCTTTTGAGGGACATATTTTAAAATAAAAATAAGAAAAAAATAAAGAAAACGAATATTTTCCTACCAGTTAGACTCGAAAAATAGACTACAGGATTGCTGCATATATTAAATAGTATGATATATTACATTACAAATACAAACATTGTAGTAGGCTATGTTACCGTGCATTTATTTATTCAAATGAAAAATATTTTATTTTTAAAAAGCCACACCGAGGATGATTCTCATTACTGTTTAATAACATGGCCTCGTGTTCTTCACTATTTTGAAGTACGCGTGTTTAATTTACAATCAAAGCTGAATTCTTCAGACAAACACAGGTTCATGTTTCTGAATACATGCTTTGTGAGATAAAGAGCAGCGCATTGATGAAGCGTTCAGCTGTGAGACCTCGAGCTGCGCGCTCACCGTGACGTCACTAACGCAAGCAACAGCCTGTGATGTGAGGAGGATAAATAAAGGACAAGTTCAAATAAACAGAGACAGGAACATGCCGCACATAAAGGCTTCCCACCTCTATAAACATGTCTAATTGTGGTTCAAATAAAGCCCACACATCAATAAACACAGGGCAGAAGGGCCAGAGGCTGAGGCAGGGAAATGAAGCAAACTTTGCTTTAGGTTGCCTTATTTTCAGAAATGTCTTTTATTTCATATCATCTGTAATCAAGTAAAAATAAGTTGAGATGGAGGAGAAGAAAACAATTTGTTCTCGGGTGGTGTGGCATAGTGATTATTTAAAAGACGTGGGCTGTTAACCAAAAGGTTGTAAGATCAAACCCCACGAGAGTGATCAATTGTGCACTTCCAAGAGCAAAGCCGTCCAGGTCATTGCAGGCGACTGACCCTAAAATATGCACCGTGATTTGCTTTAAATAAATTGGTACATTAGTTCCGTGATCATTTTTTCTTAGATTCATACCTGGGAAATCACTTATTCAGACGTTAAAGAATAGTTCACACACACACAAATTATTTACTTACTTTCTGTCGTTGCACTGGCCGCACTCACAATGAATGGGGACTGGAGCTTTCAAGCTTAAAAAGGCCACAAATTCTGCATAAATGTGGTCTATGCGAATCGTATGTTATATTCCAAGTCTTCTGAAGTCATGGAGCTAGTGTCATCTAGTGGAACTACAAAAATAAAGCATGTTTTTAAACAACCTTTGCAAACGCTTCTTTCGCGCGTCACGCGTCACCCCCAACTCAAACGTGACAAACACAGCTGTTACAAGTCTATAAAAGTTAAGGCTCAACAGGTAAAAGTAGGTTAATTTAAATAAAATGTCCATCATATAGTACTTTTAACTTTAAGTTTAGCTTACCTGTCGAGAAGAAACTCCGCAAACATTTCATTAAAGGGGTCATATGACGCTGCTAAAAAGAACAGTAGGCTATTTGGTGTAATGAAATGTGTTTATGCGGTTTAAGGTTCAAACCACATTATTTTCCACATACTGTACATTATTGTTTCTCCTCTATGCCCCGCCTTTCTGAAACGCGTCGATTTTTACAAAGCTCATCGGTCTGAAAAGGCGAGGTGTGCTGTGATTGGCCAGCTATCCAGAGCATTGTGATTGGCCGAATACCTCAGCTTGCAGTTCAAGAGGCTCCTGGTGTTTTATGGCTGCTAACACAGATGGACTGGAATCTGACCACACAAACACAGGACACATACAGGCACACAGGGACCATCAGGCTGTCAAAAAAACAATGATCAGTAAATCTGAGCAGGTGCTTTATATATGAAAATTATAAATATGAATGAGAGTTTTCCTATATGAACATTCAAATATAATAATTTATAGAAAGGTATATTAAAATATTTTATTACAAATCATTAAAATAGTGTTCATAAATGTTTGATGAACCTTTAATAATTACTGCTGTCAATATTTAAAAATTATTACAAATAAATGAAATAAAACTTCATTAAATTAAACTTCATTATCATATAATATTCAGGATTTGATCAAAGCTAAGAGATCACAGATAGAGAGCACAGACAGCAAACAGCTGGTTCTCTAAAAACCTTGAAAAAATATCTTAAGAAAATTAAATGTCATAAAAATTGATGTGATGTGTGATGTGTACCCAAGTAATTAGTGCTCTGCATCTATCCCATCCAGGTGCACGTCACAAGAAACACAAGACTCTTAACTTTTATAAAGAATATCTCTTTGGATTTGAGACTTTAGTCTTTGCAACTTTACAGATCTTCTTTATGCACCAAGAACTTGTAACACTCCAAAGAGAAAGGAAAAATTGAAATCGCATCATATGACCCCTTTAAATTCCTCCATCTTGTAAAAACACCATCAGTTTGCCCTTGTTTTACCCCGTTGTCTGTCACTGTATATTTTGGTAAGTCTTTGAATTTTGCTTGCACTTCTTTCTTTTTCCACACCGGCTAAACACCCTCTGGCTCAGCCTGCTACAGTAGCCACTCCCCAAACTCGCGCTATTGGCTGCGCGGAGGTATGCCAATACAAAGAATATAATATATCATATTTACACATACGTTTCTGTGGAAAAGATCCTATTTGAAAAATTTGATCACGAATGGGAAATCGCTTCATGAGCAGCAACTTTAGACCGATGTCACGATCTTCCTTGAAAAAAAAAATTACATTTATCTTTATATCTCACACAAAACTATCATTAGACCCATAATATACTTTTTAACTTTTTTTTTTTTTAGCTTTATAGACCAAGCTTCTCTTCAAATAAAATTTAATTAATAAATGATCAATCGATCAATCAACCAATCACTTTTTTCCCTTCCAAATAACAATTTCATACAATTCTGAAATTACAATGAAGGTGAGAAAATTATAATTTTTTTTCATTTTGGAGTGAACTATCCCTTTGACATGTCCAAGTGCTGAAAATGCTATGGCTGTAAGTGGTAAAAAGAACTAAATGAATTTCTTGACAGCTGTGTGAGGTATCGACTATTGGAATTCATTCCCACCGCCACACAAAGCAAGAGGAGTCAGATTCAAGTTCTCCACATTTATTTCAGCATAAGTGGTTCATAAAACATCTCAGACTGTACCACTTACCAGATTCTTATCTTTAAAACCCTCAGTAGGCAGGCAAGATCAAAGATTTAAACATAGCAGTGACGCTGGACACCGCCATGTCAAAATTTTTTACATCTTATTGACTAAAAACAAATGGGTTTCAAACTGGGCATGACAAATATCGCCACAAATGTTTGAGAGTAAAGAATACAAACAAGACAAAATAAAAACGGTGGCTCAGGATTCACACAAGTGCTGCACTGGAACTTTTATAACAATATACAGTGGTAATTCACAATATGTCGATACACACATTTCCTATCACACTATTCCAGTCTTTTTACAGTTGTTTACTCTTCTTTTTACTCAAGTCAATTTTCCGTGAGCGTGTGCATGTGTGATCACATTGACATACTGCTACATACTTTACTCAGTGTTGTAATAAGGCAATGTGGTACTGAAAGGAACAATTTCACTAAAAACAGCCACATCTATCAAGTGAACAGTTTTGTTTAATTCCAATTAACAATGGGAGAGGGTATCATTAATAACGACCACAAGCATTTGAATGTAAGCTGGCCATAAACCTCATTTAAAATCCTTGAACATTAAAGAAGAAGTGGGGTAGACCATATCCATTTTCCTTTTTTCTGGTCACCTCAATACAAGATACAAAAAAGAAAGAAAGAAAGAAATACATTCATAAACAAATCTGTTAAGTAACACCCGCAATCCAGTTAAAATTAAACATGGATTAAACACATGTACCTCTTCACAATGGTTCGGGAAGGCAAGAGGTCTGCTCTACCCTCTGCTTTTCTTAAGCTTGGCACAAGAGACTAAGATGAAGCCTTCTGGTCCACTCAGACAAGAGCTGTACAGGCTTCACTGCAATATGGAACTACTGTACCGCACAATAGTCTCCGAATTAAACACACTGCGCTGCCTGTGGCAGTGTGACTGATATCGCTGGTACATCTCCATTAACCCAGTTCCCTGAGAACACTAAAAGGCTAAAACCATGGCAGCACACAGGATATGCAATAATATTATTTGCTAGATAAAATGCGTAGGATAAATCAAAGGAAAAAAGAAGACAGTGAATATATGGACTAAGCATGTGACTTAATGTGGACAACACTCAAATAACTGTTACTGTCTTCATTTCGGTCATTCTGTTCTGAGAATAGCTGATAAAACAACCAAAATATGGTTACAGTTTTCACATTTTCAAAAAGCAGAGGAAATTCAACCTATTGCTGAGCAAGAAAGTTAACAAATGGATAGAAAGTGTAAACAAGGTACCATGGACAAATGCAGGCCTACTGGCATAAAGTGACACAAATCGAGCATATGCAACAAAAATCTGATCCTGTGCAATTTACTGTCAACAGCCTACCGGCTTCCCTTTTCATCAGCATACATTGGTCAGTTTTTTCCATCTGTACACATATGAGGTTTGCTTTTTAGATTTTTTTGTTGTGTATTTTCGTGTTTTTGCACTGATGTACCCATATCTAGGTGCTTGTTTTGGCTTTAAGCAAATGTAATGCTCGTGTGAGAGTTTGTTGTAAAATAAGGGTCTTTTCCCTGTTCAGTGAGTCTGCTGATCAGCTGACAAACTCCTTCACAGTTTGCTTCAGTTAATGCCTACAAAGTCCAATACCCACATATATTATTTATAAAAAATAAGTTATTGCGCATCCAAAAAAAGTGCATCTTATATTCAAAAATATCTGTTTCGCTCCATGCTTTCTTTTCTTCTTCAGGGTCCAGAAACCCAAATCCAGCGTTTTCTAAGTGACGGGGGGTAAAGAGGGCACGTAATAAAACATGATGAGGAAGTGGAGTGGGAAGTGAAGGAGGAGGAGAGAAAGAGTTGTCCAGCTATGCAATCACCATGGGAACGTCATCTGAAAAGCCACTGATCATTGGAGCGTCTTCATCATCGTCACCTGAAGAGAGGGAACAAAGAAAAAATCTTAGCAGCCAATTTCCACAGTGTGGAAGTCTCTTAATAAATATTGTACTAAATAAAGTGAGCTGAAATGAACTAAATATAATTAATGTGACCTGAACTTAACTGAAAGTGACCTGAACTAAGCTGAATTGAAATTAAAAAGGCCTAAACACTTATTAAACAAAGAGCTGATGTGAACTAAATTGAAATAAAGTAATTAATTATAGGTGGACTTAACGGAAGTAAACTGAAGTGATCTAAACTGAAGTCAACTGAGCTAAATGTCAACTGAACTGAATTAACTGAAGTGAACTTAACAGTCAACTGAGCTATATAAACAAACTGAACTAAAAGTAATTGAACTAAACAAGTGAGATGATCTGAAATGAACTGAATTGAAATAAACTAAGCTGAAGTGAACTTAACTGAAGTCAACTGAAGTGAACTAAAATAAAATAAAGTCAACTGAAGTCAACTGGTCTAAATCCAAGTAAACTGAACTAAAATGAAACTAAACTAAACAGAAGTGAACTTAACTGAAGTCATCTGAGCTAAAGTGATGTAGAGTGAAATGAACTAAAACACAGTGAAGTGAACTAAGTAAAACTAAACTAAAACCCAGATGTCATCTGAGCTAAACACAAGTAAACTGAACTAGAATGACGTGAACAGAGATGAACTGAAGTCAACTGATCTGAAGTCATACTGAGCTAAACTGAAGTGAAGTGAACTAAATGACACTTCTCTGAAGTGTACTGAAGTAAAAAAACAGATTTCATGAAAGGCAGGAGACTGGTCTTACCCAGCTCATCTCCTGAGGAGAAAATGGCAGAGCCCAGACGAGAGTTGTAGTGGCTGTTAGTGAAAGCGGTGAAGCTGTGCTGTAGCCGACGGTGTCTGAGGTAAAGCACCACCAGGCCTCCACACACACCCACCAACAGCAGGAACAACACTGGAACCACCACCGCCGCCATGTCTTCTGATGTACCTGACTGAGATGAGGCATCATTTGGCCCTGAAAGATGTCAAATGTGTCAAAATCAATGTCTGGCTCCACAAATGGCCATAGAAATACAGAAGCAAAATGTTTAACGTGTAAAAGCTCATGCCTGCTGCTTTGCCCAGTTCATCATATAACAGCACTGCCGCCTCTCCACACAATTGGTTGTTGAGCAGGCAGCGCGCCCGCACTGAGAACGTGTAGTTATGCCCCACCATCAGGTTGCTGATCCTGAAGAACGTCTCTGTTGTGTTACCCAGACATTTTGTTGAGTTGGTGACACTGTCATGCATATACACCTCATAGCCCTGAAGAGTCAGACCATCATTAGTCAAACAAAAGGAAATGGGGAAAAAAAGCCAAAAAGGAAAGTTGTTTCAGACATGGATAAACCTCTTGTTAAAAGATAATAAAACATTTTCTTTGTGACAATGGGCACCAATACATCATGCAAAATAAGACTAAATGTTCATTAACTGAGTAAATAGAGTCACATGTTGATTTCATGTTGACATTAAGATGTGTAGAATGGTTCTGGTTTCTAACCCTGCTCTCATTGAAGGTCCGGTCCTTCACAGCCACACTCTTCCAGAAGAGAAACACATGATCCTGTTCTTCTAAGATCTTGAGGGCCTCAGGCGCAGGCAGAGGAACTTTGTGGAAAAAATATACATGCATAAATATACAATGCAGCAAGACATTTCACATATAGTAGAAATACACCACCGTTCAAAAGTTTGGGGTCAGTGCAATTTTTTTTTTCAAGAAAGTAATGTTTTTATTCAGCATGGATGCATTAAATTGATCAAATGTGAAAGTAAAGACATTTATAATGTCATAAAAAAAATTATATCACAAAGAAAAACTGTTCTTTTTCATTTTCTATTCATCAAAGAATCATAAACGGTTTCTACAAAAATATTAAGCAGCACAACTGTTTTCAACATCGATAATAAGAAGAAATGTTTCTTGAGCAGCAAATCAGCATATTAGAACGATTTCTAAAGGATCATGTGACACTGAAGACGAGTAATAATAACTGCTGAAAATTCAGGAATCAGCTATTTTAAATTGTAATAATATTTCACAATATTTCTGTTTTTACTGTATTTTTGATCAAATTATGCAGCCTTGGTGAGCAGAAGAGACTTCCTTATAAAACATTTACATTTACATTTACATTTAGTAGACGCTTTTATCCAAAGCGACTTACAAATGAGGACAATAAAAGCAGTCAAAACTAACAAAAGAGCAACAATATATAAGTGCAAATGACAAGTCTCGGTTAGCCTAACGCAGTACACGTAGCAAGGTGTGTATATATATATACATATATATATATATATATATATACATACACATA